AGAATAATGGGGTCAAGCTTGACATGTTCAATGGATTGGACGGTTGGAGACTGGAATTGGATAAATCCACTCTATTCCATAATAATAGAACAACAAAAAGGAACGAACGGACACTGTAGGAGGTAAATCTTGGAATTCTAATCCCATTAAACAGATGTTCTATCAAGAAGTTGGGAATCTTAAATTGGCGGGAAATATTATAATTATATAATTATAAATATATATTTCTAGCACAATGTATATCAACTCTATCCTAAAGATCAGACTGCGTGTTTCGCAGATATGCACCCTAGCAGAAAGGTTCCTACCCATCCTATCTGGCTGATCATGTTGGAAAACGTTGGAAAACTGGCACACCAGGTCAAACAAAAAGAATTCCATGTTGTAATTCTCAGGATGGCAACCAAAAAATTGCAACACTGGCTAAATCCCTATGAAATCCTTCAATCCCGGGTTTCCATAGGGAAAAACTGTCCCCTCTCGGAAACAGCTGCACCTTCTTCCGAAACAGCTCCGGTTCCTCTTGCAGTACTTGTGCCAGGTTTGTAAGGGGTCCCAGCCTTGATAGCTGGGAAATCACCATGATTTTGGATTGGTTTAAGGGAAAATCTACAGGAAACATCAGGAAACCATCGATTTTCCCATGAAAAATCTATGGGGCTGTCCTGTACAACTTTTCCCTTAAACCAATCCGCATTGACACCAGCAAAACCATGGGAAAACGATGGGAAAGTCCACGAACTCCATGGAGATTTGGAGCTGAGCATCCACCATGGGATGTCCCCAAGTAACTCGCCATTTCTTTCAGAAGGGAACATGATGATTTCTACCATGGGATTTTTTTCGGGAATCCCTAGGCATTTTTGCAAGACCAATCCATATGTGTACCCTCTGGTAATTTAACATAGCTATGGAAAATGGCCATTTATAGTGAGTTTTCCCATTAAAAATGGTGATTTTCCATAGTTATGTTAAATTACCAGAGGGTATCCCATCTGTTGTTTCATGCAGGTCTTTCCAGAATCCCAACTTCTTCCAAACGACATTTCCAGAGAAATTCGTCCAAACGTGGAGAATTCGTTGGGACTCAGTGAAGTTGAAACACTTAACGATTCACCAAGACATCAGATGCTTAAGCCAGGCAACTCAATGATATCCACCTTGTGCTCAGACTTGCGAAGAGTCTCGCGAATGAGTCTGCTGGCATACATCCAACTTGGAGGACGTACATTGAAGGGCAGCGGCACGAACTCGCTGAGGAAGTTGCCTGCGAGAGGCTTCAGAGGATTTTCTGAGTCATGTGGGTATAAACAAAAATAAAACCAGTCCATGTTTGATGCTTTATACCACCATATGCCACCTACAAAAATGGTGATGACTGAGGGCTGGTGTCACTGGTTTATGACATTGTTTTAGCCACACTAATGCTGTGTTGACCCCAGGATGGCACGTCTGTGTTCAGCTCAGCCCATCCCTGGGGCCCTGGGGCCTATGCCAGTCAGCAGGGTAGGATTCGGCAGGTCATTCGGCTGCATCATGTTGAGCTGTGTGTCGCCATTGTACCTCGTCGAATATGCCACCTGGCCGTGGCGAGCTGGGATCTGAGTGGTCTCTTGCTTGGAAAAAGAACTCACCTAAAGGGCTGGGTGATTTTAAGATGTTATCATGTACAACTTATCATTCATGTGAGTAATTGTGAGTACATCATGAGTTCGAAACTCAACTTCCTAGAACCCAACCCCAGTGATCCAGGGTGAAAAAACTTCTCAGCGGCGGTCACAAACACTAGGTATTTGGGGATAGGTCAAAATCCCGCCTGGTTCTCACACCAAAATAGCTGCCAAAAAGATGTTAACCCCGCAAAAGATTGTCCCGTAGGTCTTGACTCATCCACATTTCATCTTAGAGTCTGACAGAAACAGCAGTACTGTCTTGCCTTTTCCATCCTTTTCCCAAAAAGAGACACTCGCCCTGCAGCCTCCGTGTTTTTAGGCTAGATGGGATGCATTCTTTGAAACCGGACTGGTGCTCTTGAAATGGCATCCACTTTCGAAACCAGTGGAATGAACCCCCTTGACGCCATGATTCGCTGTGACTATTGCCACTACTGAGTTCCAACATGTTCCAACACCACATGCAAAATCACTTAACATACCCTCTGGTAAACTAACATAGCCATGGAAAATCACCATTTTTAATGGGTAAATCCACTATAAATGGGCCATCTATACCATGGCTATGTTAAATAACGATGGTAATTCAATGCACTGCAAGGATACCTCAGACTCTACGGACTCTACGGCGCTTAAAAACCTAGCTTTATATCACATGGTTCGTCCCATCGATTCGAAAAAGTTCCCCAGTCGCCAAGTTGCAGGAATGTCTGGCTGACCCCAGGCTTGAGTAAGGCGCATGGCATTCTGCACCCCAGACCACTGATTCCTGGGCGCGCCATGACGAAGGGGGAGCATCAAGAAGTGGGTCGAAATGACAACCATACCTAGAGCACAAATATATAAACAGAATCGTTGTAATGACACCTGATATTCTTCTTGATGATGATGATGATGGTGATGATGGTGATGATGATGATGATGATGATTATGATTGGGAGGAGGAGGTGGAGGATAATAATGATCATCATCCCAAATAGGACGGAAAATGAAACACATTATATTGGAAAACACATGAAAACACATTCAATGCCTGGGTGCCATTGAAAGGGTCGCTCTTCAAGATGTAATTACTGGAGGCAAACAAATAATAGAGATACCATTACAAATTCTTGACTGGGTCTGCAATACATCATTTACATAGCGTGGAAAAGATTCAAAGAGTGGTGCAAAATGACACTGTCCAACACCTTCAACCCTAGATCACATCTTTAAAAGCCTCCGCAAAGTTCTTCAATCTTTTTGGAGTGGCCCCTCGGGGGGTCATTTCTGAATGACCAGAAAAATGCTGGTCTTCACATCGCAGTTGGCACGTGGATGGTCATCCTCCTCTTAGCCATGGCAGCCATGGTGTCAAAACATGGTTTTTGTGGACTATGGTAATCCCATCCTTGTTTTTCGGAAACCCTATGCTGGGATGATCATCTCGAAATACTAGGCTACACAATGCTACAAGTATAAAATATATACATATAATTATACATGTATAATTTAGTATAATTGTATACTGGTACGTAATCCAACTTTGACTGTGGCACACCTGGGAAAAAATCCATAGGAACATATATAGAATCTCTGACCCATCCCTGCTTTTTTGACGCGGCTCGACCAGCCATCTGCAAGGGTTGTGATGGCTTTCACTTCAATGGAGGGTTCTCCCAGCAAAAACGCCAGTGCCATCTGGTCATCCGTATCCATGTCAGTGTCGACAATCACAGGCATGCGGCGGGGCCTGGGAAAGGCAACAAAAACATGGCGCAACCGTCTAAGGGTCTAAGAGGTTTACTGCCCAACTGGGCATAGCCTAGGTCTTTGCATTTTATTGGATCTGTGTATTTTTCCAAATCGCTGTTGGTGGTTGAGCCATCCCCGAGAAGCTTATCAGGATCATCACCAGCTTTTTGGGGGAAAGATGAGAAAGATATAGCAAGAATGAGGGGAAAAAAATGACAAAAAGTGAATCACGCCACCAACAAAAAAAACTGATTCTTGGGGATATGTTCCATTCTATCATATTCTATCCCATATATAGATATATTTAGGTGCTGTAAGTCTCACACAAATCCAGTTGAACCCACTCCCCAGCTGCCGCAGCTAAAAATTCCCAGCGTTGCTTCTTGGTGAATGGTGACATTGTGGAAAACCTAAAGGGAACCACTGTACCCTCTGGTAAACTAACATAACTATGGAAAATCACAATTTTTAATGGGAAAATCCACTATAAATGGTCATTTTCAATAGCTATGTTAAATTACCAGAGGGTAGTTGCTTGTAAAATCAATGGTGTCCTGAGTTTCCTGCGAAGTTCCCCCTCAACCCAATCGATTAAGATCATCCTATTGCGAAAATGGTTACCCTCTGGTAAACAAACAAAAAGCTATTGAAAATGGACATTTATACTTGGTTTACCCATTAAAAATTGTGATTTTCCATAGTTATGTTAGTTTACCAGAGGGTACATCCCAATGTTTCATGGAATCTCTTTCATGGAATCTCTTTTTTGTCCATGGCTTTTTCATGGGATGTCCCAGCCTGCTTTGTATCTGTAACATCTCCACATCCTCTCTGTCGCCAGCTGTGGCCCCAAGGGAAACGGCCAATAGGACCACGAGGACCATGGGATGACCCACTCATTCAGTTTGCATCAGAAAACTCGGCTTTTTTGGCCCATCTTGGCCCTGGGGCCCTTCAAACAGTCCACTTTCGATTTCAGTGGATTTTGACCTGCTGTCATCCCTCTTCGAAAAATTGTGCACTTAATGACTTTGCCTTCTGCTGGTCTGCATATAGTGTCTATATGAGCCACGGATTTTATTTGGTACACACTGCAATTGACGGGGTGTTCCTACCTAGTTCTCCAGTCACGTAGAGTTTTTTGGGGTCTGACCTCGTTTTCCAACGCCGCACTTGTTTTTAGTAGCTAAATGCATGAGATGCCTACCTCGTTCTCGGGATGTTCCTACCTCGTTTTACAGCCTAATCATGATGTTCTCGGCAAACCGGGGTACGCCCCAATACTTCTCTCCATTTGATCAAATAAAAGCAGTCGCTCATATGATTGTCTATACATCATACTTGTGCTGCAGGTTGCAGATCCGTGAAGGGATGTGAAGGGGAAGTTGGATACCCATGGTAATCAACCATCAAGCCGTGAACTAAGTCCTTTGGGAGTTCCTATCATGTCCGGAGCGCCAGCGGAACACACTTTGACTCATCAGCTGAGGTATCCGAGTTCCATGCAGTCGCCATGCAGTTGCCGGAGCTGACTCACAAGTGCATGTCTGGTTGGGGATGTCAAACCCATCAGAAAAAGTGACAAAATGTGAACCCTTCCGGATCATTATAGACCATAGGTCCATAGCTATGGATGGACATATTCAGAACTATTTGAAACCTCAAGCCAGCGGCAGTTTCATACATACCCGAAAAGTTTACTGGCTATGGCCACAGTCCAACTGAAAACAGTTCAAACCGTGTTTGCGGGTTCCATGTGGGTATGGGGCATTTCATAGGATACCATTGTTTTTTCCCAGTAAATATAGCTCCAAAACTGTGTCCCGGTAAATATAGTTCCAAACTGTGAACCTTCTTAAAGTAGACTCCCCTGTGTTATGACGCTATGATTGTGAGCGCGAGCAGCCGGCAGAAAAAGGGGACATCCTGTGCCCCGATTTCAAACACTTTCCGGCGCGTGGGTGAAACCAAATTCTCCCCCACAGCTGGCTATTGCTTCTGAACATTGTCCCTACAATCTAGATTAATCATGATTAATCTAGAGTCTAGATTAATCAAATTCAGATAAATTACGCATGAAATTGCCTATGGTCAGAATTCCTTGTCTGGCAGATCTGCAAGGGCTACCATCTGCACACGGCAGATTCGGTCGCCTGGGTACCTGGCGGTTCACGCCGATGGTATGGTCCAAATATATGTGTAAATCCCCTACTAAACCCTGGTTTCTGGGGGCTGTTTAATGTTAGGATGGGATTGACAGAACATCGTGGAGTGAGTTTGTTTGTGAGCCATACCCTGTCTAATGTGGCAGCGTTTCTCAATATCTCCACTTTTCAGGCAACATTCTCTCAATTTCTGGAGGCGGTGCAGTGTCGGCTATGTAGACTTGGGGAAAACATGGGAAACCTGTTTTAGAGATACATGTTCCATGTTTTGCTGAGTATCTAAGTAAATTCAAGAAATCCTCCAAACATCTTCCAAAATCTTCTAAACATCTTCCAAAAATCATCATCAGCCTTCCAACTTCTTCTAAAAATCGTCCAACACCATCCAAAATCATCAAACATCTTCCAGAACCTGCCAAAAAATCTGCCAGGAATCCTCCAAAAACCTCCTCACTTCATCCCCACCGACCCACCTTGAAATCTGGCTCTCATCGCCGAAGCTGTGACTCGGAGCGGCTCCTGGGACTGCGGTGCAGCTTCAGGGCTCTGAAGGCGCTGGGGCCTCGAAGATACGGCGCAGCACCGGCGAAAAGCGGGGACATTCTGAGTGGGAGTTTACCACGGAACACCATCAAAACTGTGGGATTTCAATGAATTATATAATATGAATTAATATTATTTAGAGTAAACAAAAAGATGTAACAAGACTAAAACCCGGGACTCAAAAAATGAATTCAAGATTCAAGAAAGCAAGATTAGAAGACTGGGAGTTTTCGCCAAGGTTAAACCAGGAATTTCGCCACTGCTTGTGGCATCGAGCAGTTTCATCTGATCGGCAGTTGAACAACCCATCCTGAGAATATGAAAGTCAATAATTAGTACCATCTGGTTATTTAACATAGCCATGGAAAATCACCATGTTTAAAAACGGTAAACCATCTATTTCTATGGGCCATCTATACCATGGCGAACTGTTAGTCATAACCAGAGGGTAATAATTTGGGACCATCATCCCCAATACGATTTTCTACATGAAAAATGTAAACCACGAGTCTCTTAATTTTGTGTGAGTTTCAATCAGTCTGAAAAAACTCAGTGGGACACCTTAGGCTCCAGTGCCAGCTGGGAACTCCGGCTTGGCCCCCTGTTTTGAGGCTTGGTTGGCCTAGGCGGATGCCGAATCTTCAGTCCAGCTATGTCCAACCAGCAGTGTTGAAGGATACTAGGTCTATCAAAATGGTTTTACGATAAGTTTATACAGCAACTCATGAAATGTCAAAAAATGTATGACATTTTGTACGTAGTCATTCTATAATGATTGTACTGGTGCATTAAAGGTAAAGGGGTAATGCCAACAAGGCGTGTAGTTGCTACAATTTGGGTGTATTTGTTCATCTTATGCCCTAATAATCCAATCCGGGCTAAGGCCTTGGAATTTCTTTGGTAATTTTCTCTAGACCATTCCAGAAGGAGCACCACTTTCACCCAACGCCCCAAACCCCAAATGAAACCATTTGACCAAAGGAAAAAGCAGTCAGCAGTCCATTTATGTCCATTTATATTGCACCCCAAGACATTGACCCGATATTCACCAGCAACACCAAATGTTGGCCATGGCACTTCGCGGCTGGTAGCTCCCCCCAACTTCGAAAAGCCTCAGCTTGTGAAGGATCCATGGGGACTCTAGACCCGCAGCGAAGCCATCGAAATTTGGGTTAACATGTGAAAACACATGGCTATGGATCAATACCTATACATACCATTTTTAGGGGGATGAACATCCATTTACCAGCTATTTCGATGTTCACCAGGGGGATAGGGTTTTGACCCATCCCCACATCAACCTTTGGCTCAAGATCATGCCCCAATTTTAATAGCGAAGGTCTGGGTCTGGGTAGATGGGGCTTTTTTTTGGCAGTATGGATCATCCAAAACTCAAAAGTCCACCAGGTTCAACATCTCAAATAGGAGTGGAACATCAAAATGCCACAGAAAAGATGATCAACAGTGAGAATATGGCAGTGTGTCAAAACCTTGTACCCCTGGTGAACATCAAAATAGCTGGTAAATGGATGTTCATCCCACTAAAAATGGTATTAATAGGTATTGATCCATACCCATATGATCCTATCAGGTTGCCATGAGGATACCAAGAGTCTATGGTTTCCTTTTTACTTGCTATTGTCTGGGTTAATCCAAACAAAAACAACTGCCACAAAAATAAGATAGATTAGCTTGCACCTGGGATTCCTCCATTCATAGCAAGAAGAAACATGGTAAAAAATAGGGTTTCTCTGAAAATTTAGGGGAAAACCCCCAATTCCCATGGATTATCAGAATTGTCCCACTCTGAGAATGGCGCTTTTTTTACAGTGTCCAACTTTTTCAAACCCCATAGCTGATCAGTACGGTTCTGGGAACTGGCCATAAATTGGATCCTAAATTGGAGGTACCTACAGTACCTACCATCTATAAGGCATTTGGTTGGAGCTATTCCCATTGACATCTATAGATGCGCCCAAAACTCATCAAAACTCCGGAGGCTCTCCAGGTGGCCCTGCGGTGGTACCCAGCTTTTTGGGTGGTAGCAATGGCAACTTCGGCCTCGTTGTCGGACGATGGGTCAGACGGTCAGACGCGTTCTGAACTCTGGAACAGTACATCTGACTCAGTATTTAAGTAACTAATAGTAACTATTAATTTTATACAAGTTTTTTTTGTATATACAAATCTATATATGTTATACAAGTATATATTTATATCATATATATATATACTACACAATATTGCAAGTATATTGCATACACATAATTTTACGGTTTATATGCACATACATATATGTGTATATATCTTTGTCATGCTTTTTTTGAATAGTGATCCTGATGTAGACATCGCCAAATTCGCAAAAATGTCTCACATTCCACCGGCCGCTATGGCAACACCAAGCAGCCCCAGGTAATTCTCATAGAACTGCTCTTGCCGCTTTTGCGCTCGCCTGTGGGAACAATGAAACTTCGCACGGCAACGTGGGACCCTCCAAAATGGGACTGCTGTGGTTTCCCCGGGTGATACCAAGTAGATCCAGACTTGCATTTTTTTTCCGAGGTTCTTTAGCCAAACTTTAGCCTAAAGATCAACAGGTTTTCCACTAATATTCATAGATTAAATAGATCATCAGGATAACACAAACTCACATTTTGCCCAAACTAACATAACTATGGAAAATCACCATGTTTAATGGGAAAATCCACTATTTCAATGGTCATTTTCAATAGCTGAAAAGCTGGTTGGTAGTTGCACCAACCATGCCTACCATGGCATTGATCGCCCAGGCCGCGGTGCCCCGAGGACCTCAGGTTTTCGCGTTTCTTCTCCGCCCAACCGCGGATCGCCACGTCAGTGGGATGACGCCTAAGGGTGGCCGCGAAAAACCGTAGAGAAAATGGGGAAATTTTCCCAGGATTTTGGATTGATTCATTTATGGCTCTTTATTATATGCATTACCTACAATATATGCTACATATATATATATATAACTATATATATATAACTATATATATATATAACTATATATATATAACTATATATATATAACTATATATTTGATTTATAATGATTAACCTATCGAAAATGGAGATTGTCCAATGGTTTGGTTGTACTTATTAAGAATGGTGATGTTCCATAGCAAACTGTTAAATGACTAGAGGTAATCGAACATGTAACTGGTCAC